TGTCAGGTTTATTCCGATTGCTTGTCAATTTGGAATTTATTAGTGAAAACACTTTTGGTACTATTTTATGTGGTCAATGAAATATATAAATGAATTAGCAGAAGAATAATTGAATGGTCAGTTGTTAATCGATCAGTTTTTTTTAATAAATTTCAAAATCAGTAAATTACTTAAATAATTACTTATCTAATTAGTCAAGTTTGTAAATAAATTTTGAAAGATCATAAAATTGAGCTGATTAGAGAATAACTTAAATTACATGACAAGTATCTTGCAATGGATCAACCTTTATAAATATATATATATAATGAGACAAGGAAACAAATCCATAGAAATCAATACTGTTGAGATGATGATCGACTAGAATGGAAAATCATCTGTAATATACCAACAAAAGGTAAGAGAACAAACCATATAACCAAGGGAAGACATGAAAACGAAAGGAAAAATTCACCACACAGATAAAAAAAAAGAATGATAACAAAACATTGATGACAATAGAATAACAGAAGAGAATAAAAGTACGCGAGAAAGGAGAAAACATATTGTTATCTGAGAGTGTTGGTCTCCTCTGAGCCAACACCTTGCTAATACAATAGTTCAATTTTCATTTTCTTCTTTTTCGTTCATTCTTTGAATTTTTATTTAGTATTATTTTGAATTTCTTCATATTTATTCTGTAGTTTTCCATGTTTTCTATTCCAGATTATATTCTGTACGAATAGAACATAGTTCTCCACTGATAAAACCTGAATTTTATATTGAGCGATTTTGATTTTTCAATTGATTGAATCTTTCTTTTCTTATTGACATAAATTGTATCTTTTAGTATATACTAATTATATATAAAAAGAACTGACCATTTTCTTATTAATTGCTGATAATTTAGGTAGGGACCGTTTAATTAAAAAAATGCTCATTTAATAAATTCTATTGATCAATATAATTTTCCTCTTTTGATTTCTTTAGCAAATCTAAAGAATTAATTAGTTTGTTATACTTAAATGGAGGACATTTATATAATATTTGAAAGCAGGGGAGGGTGTAGATCAGAATTTGCGAATATTTGTGTAGAATTTGCCTAGAAAATTGTTCAAGGTCTCTTATTTATGTTCTAAGTATAATTCGATGATTCCTATGCAATGATATAATCAAAATCTTTTTGATTTAGCATTTTTATTGTTGTGCAATAGGACAAAGGATTTTAGGTTTGTCAAAGACGATAGGAGTGTCGAGTAGTTGATATATTGAATGACGAAAAAATTTAGAACAGTTAGAATGTGATTTTTTTGAGGTTATAGTTTGTCGAGATTCAACTATTTTCGAGAAACCTATAAATAATATGTGTACAAAACAACTAATTTCAACTAATCGTTCATTTGATTGTCATCTGCAAATTTCCTTCTATCGCTTTACACATTTCGAGAAACTTAGTCCTGATATAATGGGACTGTCGACATAACAACATCTATAATTTGCAGCATAAACAAACGTTTCCAGATTTTCAAAAACTTGAATATAATAAGCATAGGTTATTATGATTGTATTTCTGTGAAGATAATCTAAATTTCATTGAAGATAGTCAATGTCAGTCGTTGAAATCATATAAATATATTAAAAACGACGAGCGAAGACTTTGTTCCTGTAATCGAGTCAAGTCGTCTGTTAAGTATTAGCTTTCCGACAGTATATTCATGTGCATCTAATAAAAATCTGACATTAAGGCCAGAAGAGTAGATGAGAATTCAAGAGAAAAACAAAAAAAAAACGGAAAAAACTAGTAAGAATCTATCAATACAAGGAGATATGAGTTCAACAAGATCTGCAGTTATTATGCTTATTGTTACATTTAGTATTCTTCTGTAGTTAGTTGTTTTCCTTGTTCTTTGCCTAATATACCGATGTCGTCAATGTTTACAAACACACAAATCATCCACCTTCAACGTTGATACTTCCATGAATTATCCGACCACATCAATTCCATAACCAACTCAAGACCATTTGAGCAGTCTAAACGATTTGCTACAAGTATTTGTATTGAATGAAGTTGTTGAAACTTGAAGTTTTTTGTTCATCTCGTAATATACAAAAATTCTTCAACTTATTTCTTCGTTTCTTATTAAAAATACTGTATTTTTCTTGATTATTAATGAAATATAACTTTGGTTTCCGACACTTCACTATAAAAAAAATTGTATTTACCTATAATGCTCGCAACTTTATATAACTGGTTTGATCAAATGAACGGTATAATATTTCGATCAATTCGTCATAAGCGTATATGACTAATCCTATTCTTAAGTATCACTGAATCTTAAAACAAAATATCAGTATTGGGAGAGCTTTTGGCGCATGTTTTGAACTATTGAAAATCCTATTATACCATTGAGTAGAGCTTATTGAGTAAGTTCTACTTGAAACATGAATAGAAAACCTAAAAGAAGCTCCTCACTGAATCCTGTACGGACATATTCGAATCTGAACCTAACTTCACCTACATGTATTTGTCTTTCGTTATGAATTGTGCCTGTCTTCTTAAACTCATTCTACATACAATAATCGTTTTTTTCAAGCCATACAAGTAATCTTGTAGCAAGGTCTGATTAGAAAAAATGCAGTCGACGAAAATAACTAATTGACCAATGATTAGAATAGAATATTTGGTAACATTGAAATTTAGTCTCACCCTCATTCTCACACTGACTACTGTGTTAAGCGTACTAATCGTGTGTGAAGGTGTCACTAAGTTGCAGTTGAACAGGATATTTGCTTTCTTTGTAATAATAACGATAGGCAAAAAAGGACGAAGAAGTTTCTATATACAAATAAAGATTTCGATCAATTCTAGCCATCAATCTTAAATTAGCGTTTGATCATCTAGCTTCACCATTTTTCCATTGTGGCGGCCGAACTTCTGCGACCTACCATTCGTGTAGACTAACCACCAATGGCATCATACTCTCTGATAAAAGATTAATCTTTTTCAGTTCTCAAAAACTATCTGGAACTATAACTGTAATGTTGATCGCGTGGTGATAAAAAGAAGTGTCACAATTTCGTGTAGATCCAAAATGACTCATGATTGACAAGCAGTAAATGAGTAAATAACAATCTATTGGTGCATCAAGATGAAAAAGAAACGCGTCACTTCACTCTCATTCCTTTACGACGCATTCGTTAAAAATCAAATAGGTTTTCTTCAACATCAAAAGAGAGAAAGTAAATATAAATAAGCAGTTTTAGCACATGTGACAACAATACACAGTGAATAAAAGGTAAGTATTTCAAGTGAGTCATATAATTTACGGAAGTAAAGGGAAAGAAACCAAAAAATAAAATTACAATATATATGTCGTGCCAAATTTATACTCTTTGCCAAAGTTATAGTTTGGGTGGAAACTTTCTCCAGAATTGATTTGAATCAGCCGAACCGTTCATATTTCATTTACCGATAGTGTTACTGTCAAATCGTACGCTCAAATTGAAAGTTTCAGATGGGTGTGAGTGTGTTATTTCTTTTAACACACGTCCACATCCACATCTAAGCACTCACACCCACGATCACCATGAATATCCACATACATACAATGAAGCCTTCCACTCCTCCGCTTCCCCTCCCCCAAGGGTTGCCAACTGTACCCCATTTCAACTTTTTGTAACCACAAAAATGTGTACCCCATTTGGACGTTTCCTTCTACACTGTAAATGAATCATCTTCGAGCAGAGTTAATCAAATTTTTTCTTTTAGCTAATATCATTTTGTATAGGGATATGAAGTCTAAATCATATTGGCTGGACAGTAACTAGTGAGTATAGGCAATCGCTGTGTCCATTCAAACTAGTCTTTTCTGTTTTTTTTCTGACTTCTCAATTTCACACCAAAATCAAATAGAATTCTTGATGAATTTTTGCAAGGAGGAAAACTAGATTTTAGTCGACAAAGATCCATTCGGCAAACTGCATCTTGAAAACTACATGTTAGTCGAAAAAGTTGGAAAGTATTTTCAAAATAATAGTTTGATCAGTATACTTGAAAGTTAAGTGGATAAACATATCTCGATCAAGAAAAGCGGAACTCACATGGAAAAGGTATTTCGATCGTGAAAACTTCAAAGCATTCAAGAAAATGAAGTATCAATTGATAAATGCGAAAATTGTGCTTCTATCAAGAAAACTAAACTCATCTAGAAAAATATCTTGATCGAAAATGTTGGAAACGGGCTCAAATTGACACTACAAATGCTTACTGCAGTAATACTATGGAAGGCGCCTCGGAGTATAATATTTAGATACTATCCATTGCGCAAAAATATCCTTTGAAATCCAGTGAAATAAAATATCTAGTTTTCTTCATTGAGTTTTGAGCTTTTTCTCTTGTTTTTGAACAGTCCTGTTTATTCATCTTGATTTATCTTCGAAAGGCTAAAAACAACAACCTCATTGAAACATGTCTCATACCGACGAAGTTAAATATGCTTCTCATTTAGAAAAAAAGGGCACAGACTCCAGCCGTCTTTTCCGGTCATACTCTTGAATTTTCGAAAAATGATGTGCCCATCAGTGTACCCAATTTGCAAAAAAAATTGTACTCCGCAAGTACCTCCATTTGAAACATCTTGTACCTCA